CACACACACACACACACACACACACACACACACACACACACACACACACACACACACACACACAAAGAAAGAAAATCATTGTTTTTAATATTCTATACATTGTTGGTTGACTTTGTCTGTATTATAGTATTACAGGCACAACTGTTTTTTTAATTGTTGGTATTTTATGAGCTGTAATAAGGAAATTTTGCTCCTACAAAAACAATTCAGTAAATAATTAAATATTTTGCCATATTTTAAACGTATTTTGAAATTAAAGAACTTAGTTTGAAGCAGTGTTATATTAGAACAGCTTATGTAATTTAAAAAAAGAGAATTTAGCCCGTGAGAATATATTGGTTTTTTTGTTTTGTTTTGTTTTGTTTTAACAGAGTTGACATATCGGACTGTATCCTACAAATTTTCCTAATAATAAGTAAAAATAATATGTAGCTAATGTTTGACAAACAGCAAATTAGCAAAGTTTAACATATTTTTAATAAAATACCTGAAAAAAATTATGGGAAATTGCCACTTTTTTTTTTTTCATTTTTCAAAATGCTAAATGTATCTCCAATTATAGAACCACCCATGAATGAGTCAAAGTAAGACTCTGGGCATGTTTTTTGATGAGAGGATAACATTATAACATGATATAAAATTCAAAAAAGTTGATTTTACATAATATAGCCTCTTTAAGGTTTGACTAAAACAGCTGTAATGTCATTTTTTGAGATTTCAGTTTAAAACTGGCCTTAAAAGGTGGTGGATGGTATTCATTCTCTCTAGGAACGCTGTCTTTATTTACCAGTAAAAACACAATCGATTTTCCCTCTTTTTTTAACCACCATCCCTGCAGATGTGTGTGACGTGAACACACAGAACACGGCAGGTTACACTCCCATCATGCTGGCTGCTCTGGCTGCTGTGGAAAATCCAGAGGACCTGAGAGTTGTGGAGCAGCTCTTCGCTAAAGGAGACGTTAATGCTAAGGCAAGCCAGGTGACTGATACTACTTCTGTATAACTTCTGTAGTTAATGGAAAAAATCTGATAACTATTAACACAAAATTATTTCTAACATGCTAGGCTTCAAATGCAAATCCGATTTTGAGCAGTTCTTTTCGGGAGGTGTTATGACTTCATGAGTTTTAACATGAACAGTTTTACTGTTTTACATGCTTCACTAACCTGTGTTCTGACAAGACCTGAAGCTTGTGTGAAAAATGGTAAACAGCTTTTAAAATGATCCTTTTTCACCCACCTTCAAAGGAGAACGGTGATAATGGATTTGTCAGTGTTTGTGTTGAGTGTAGTCATAACTGAGAATCGTTCACAGTACATTTCACAGCATTATATGAATTTGCTCATAATGGTAATGGGTGCAACCAATGGGGATGGATACAACCCAGGTGAGCGGGGGCCTCCTAAGTGGGCCCATTGCTCTCCCCAAAAGATACTGGGCTTTAATCAAACCTTTTTGTCCCTCGGATGAAGGACACCWGKTKWGAAACCCTCAGTGTTCTAAGCTTCTCGGGATCCACAAAGGGGTCTCCAAGAATTCTTTCCCTAAGACTACTCAGAGCCAAGCATTGGCCTAAGTAGTGCAAAGAGGTCTCTGATTCAATGCCGCAGGCATCACACAGACCATTGTCTTGGAGTCCCATCACCATTTTATGGCGTTTGAGCAGATTGTGCCCAGTTAGGACTCCAACCAGTGTACTTAAAGTATTCCTTGTCAAGGCAAGAAGGGATTTTCCAAATCCATGATTTGGGCTGTTTATCAGTTCCTGTGCCTGTCTACAATCCGTCAGCTCCCTCCTTCGGATTGAGTGTTGACGTCTGATCCATGCCTGTAGGGCAGTCCTGCAGATTGTTGTTGAAACACCCATAGCAGGCTCTGGTCCTTTAAAGTGGGCCTGACTGCCAGCTCTTGCAAGGTAGTCAGCTCTCTCGTTACCATAAATGCCAGTATGTCCTGGTACCCATTTAACAGTAACACTATTATCTCTCCCCAGTTGGTTGACTGCTTCGGCACACTCCCAAGTCAGTAGTGACGTGAACTGCGGCCCTTGGAGAGCTCTAATAGCAGCTTGGCTATCTGTCAATAGAATTTGCTCATACTTTACAAGATTTTACTAAAACTTCTATAACATTTTTTTTCTCAGCTTCAGATAATTTTAGTCAGCATTGGCGGCAGCTTTTGTCGCAGGATAATGATGTCTAATATTGTTAACACTGCTAGCTTTGCGAACACTGGATTTTAAAATAATTTCAAAATGTGTTCAATAAAAACAATATGAATGGTACCACTGGTCTGAAAGTTTGAAGTGCAGCTTAGACACCAACCACAACTGCAAGCTTGATGTCTTTTAGAGAAGCGTTAGCAGCATTGAAGGGCTCGACACACGGGAGGCGACGTCGCTCGCTCTCCATTCATTTCCTATGGAGCCTGTGCGGTGAGGCGACAATC